TATAGTATAGTATAGTATAGTATAGTATAGTATAGTATGGCGTAGCATTTTATAGTATAGCATAATACAGCACAGTATACGTATACTGAAAAGGTTAGCACATAGTTTAGTATAGTATAATGTAGTGTACAATGTTCTAGTATAGCATAGTATGCCACAGTATTGTGCATTATAGTTTAAGGAAAGGAAAGTGAACTCCTTGTCATTGTGACACAGCACACCACTGCACACAACCAAATGTGACCTCTGCTTTAACCCATCACCAAAGTGAACAGTGGGCAGCTTTTAGGGGGAGCAGTGTGTGGGGACGGTGCCATGATCAGAGCACCTCAGTGGTAACTTGGCAGCTGGTGGACTTGAACCTGAAACCTTCCAGACCCAAGCCCGCTTCCTTAACCACTGCCACCAGCCTTAATGTAGTGCACTATAGCATAGCACATTATTTTATTTCATAATTTAGTAATCTATAATCTAGTGTAGTTCAGTACAGTATAGTATATGTGAGTACAGCATATAATGTATAATAGTATAACATAGTAGAACATTGTACAAAATTGCATAGCATAGTAAAATATGACATTTCATAGCATACAGTACAGTACAGTATGGTAGAAGGCAATTCTATATAGCAATACATCTTAACTGTTATTATGTAGTATTTCGATATAGTATAATTTTGTGTGTGTGTATATATATATAAAATGATAACGTCCATACCATTTATTTACATGTTTTACGGTCAACGTGCGTCTCATAAAACAGTCCTGTTTTACATTGGCATCGGCAACATTTATTTTAATTCAATTCACATTTATTTCCATTTGTTTATACGTCACTGTTTACGAGAAGTGAAGCCTAAAGCCTTCAGGCTCTCCCCCAATCAGACGGCGAGGGAGATAGAGGGGTGGGTAGGGGGAGCGAGAGAGAGAGAGAGAGAGAGAGAGACAGAGAGAGAGAGAGAATAGAGTGTGTCACTTTTTTGTGCTCAGTTCGCACCTTGAAACTTTAACGCAACACGTGCGGTTTTTCAGGTATTTTTTCAACTTCAGTTTCAGCCATGTTCACTTCAGGTACTGACGATGGAAACATGTTTTTGGCATGTGAACAGAATCAGTTTTTCTTCTTCTTCTTCTGTGGACAGGCTTTAAAATCCCCCCTGCAGTGAGGTAAGAGAAGAACAACTATGTTTTGACATGTTTGTGGGACTATTTTAGCATGAGTCAGACATCTGTTGACACCGTAATTAGTTTGGGTGTAACAGTCCGTTATGTTCCTTTGTGTAACTTCTGTTTTTTTTGTGTTTTTTTTTTACGTCTTCGTGGTAAAATGTTTCCATCGTGATGCCCGAGTCTACAACAATAGTCAAAGCACACACACACCGTACATTTACCCACGAAATAAAAACTGCAGTGTTTCCGTTTGAGTTGTGTTCACGCTGTGATGGTGCAGCCGAGCTTCGACATTGATTGACAGCTGCAGAGACATGTCCCCTCTTGCAGGATGTTTGTTTTCTTATCACTTCCTTCAAAGCCTCTGGGCAAATCCTGCACATAAATCTTCTAAAACTAATGGACAGCCCCTCTTTTTTTCTATTCGAGTTTCTTTTCTTCTAACCAAAACGTGTTTTCCAAAACTTGACAGCAGCACAGATTACCAGTCACAACACAATTAGCCACAATTAGGCAACTGTTTTTCATATTATACAACACATTAAATTATATATTTATATTCCTAAAAGTAAAAAAAAAAAGATTTTATCCATTAGGTTTATTAAAAGCTTTATAAATAAAATTAATAAATGATCACATGACATCAACATCTAGACGTGACATTTAATTTTAAAATCACTACCAACAATATTTAATTGTTGTTTTTATTATAAAAAAACCTTTGAATTTTGATTTTCAAAACTGTATTTCATGCTTGCATTGTATTATATTATATTATATTATATATAGAATATATATGAAAAAAAATACACATTAGGGTTAGGGTTAGATTGTCACGCAGATTCTATCCCACAACCTAACTATGTCTGTCTTATCTTACGTAGCTGGGGAAACATTGCATCACCCTGTTAAGCAATTTTTTCGTCCAGGTTTTAAAGCTTCTTGCATCACTGTGGGTCTTGATGAACCTTCACAGATTTGAGTCCAGAATAAACCCCTGATTTTACATTCCTGTAGGATGACGTGGGGTTTTAGTAAAACAATGGGAGAAAAGTGGGACTTTGGTCCAGTGTGCTGCCACTGAGGATCAGTGAAGTTGAGCTGCAGGATGAACTATGTTTCAATTATGCAGATTTACATGAATATTGCCAACGTGCATAGATTTGTATGTATTTATGTCCCCAAGTGGACCTTGAGATACCACAGTGTCACCATAAGCTTTTATTTGAGATTGGATCTTATAACAATTTAAGATTAGGTTTACCCTCGTTCTATTACTTAATCGATTTAGTAATAATTCAGCAGGTTGATACTTTTCATTCCTACTGACAGGATTGAAAGAATCTTAGCAATTCTAAAGGACTCATAAAGTACGATAATATACAGGAAAAGGTTCTTGTACCATAAAATGTATCTAGAATTTTCCAGGCGTCAGTATGACTCACTCAAAATTGGATTGCAAATTCCCTTTTTTGTGCTAAGATAAGCTAATGTAGGAGATCCCTGAAATAGGTCAGGCTGATAGGATCTCACTATTGATCGCATCGTCATAGAAACCCTCATTGTTTGACTACACATTTAATCATCACGTGATGTCATCAAACATGACTCACTGGACACCCTGGTGGAATCTCATCTTTTCAGATTGATGTTTCCTCACAGAACACAAGATTTTTTAAATTTATTCTGTGAATTACATTGGGCTTATTTAAATTTATACAACATCACACAAATCAAAGTCAAAAGTAATACTGAGGGCTTTGGACAAATGCCCTAAGATATGGCACAATGCCCTTTGAAAGAAAAGAACCAACCAGGTCTCAGGTTGTCTCTCCACTAAACTCAACCAGGCAGTTGAGACCAGGTGGACTCAAACCACTTGACAAGCAAACATTTCTAGCCCTTAAGGAAGAAGACCAATGCCAAGAGAGAGAGTTAAGAAAAATATGCCAAAAGCTAAAGCTAACATAGACATATTGCAGACAGAACACATGCCCTGAAAGTAACATTTACCCACAAATATGTAGAAATGGCAAAAAAGTAACCAAAAACTGACATTAGCTAGAAAATCTTTGATTTAAATAAAATGAAACATAACTATTACAAAAAGGTAGACACAAGTTTTTCATGGAGAAAACTATGAGTAATGCAAAAAAATGTGGTACATTTGTTTTACAGAAAATTTATAGCATGGACAGCTTAATTTGATTTGTAAGGGTTGCTAAAACATACCAAAACTGAAATAGCGTATTACTTGCCGGAAAAAGCTAGCAAATAGTCATACCAAAACTGAAATAGCGAATTACTTGCCGGAAAAAGCTAGCAAATACTTGAGATAAAAGAGACTGAACACATGCACAGCAAGTAAAATTTACCCTTTAATTATTGTGAGATTGAAATAAAAAATGTCAAAAAAGGTAGCTTAGTAAAAGCAACCTAAACTAAGCTAACCATGCTAATGACATAAAACAGATGAAACAGAAGTACTACAAAATCGTTTAACAGTCATCTTTAATAACAAACATAGCCACCTATAGAGAGTTCTAGAAAAGAATTGCAGAGACTCTGGTAAAGTTTACCTGTAAAAATATTTTTGAAACGCTAAAATTAGCCTTTTTTAACACACTATAGTCCTACTAACTCTAGAATTCGAGCCCAATCCTTTGGCCGCAGACTGCCAAGTGGTGAGATTGGGAAATAGCTGCTATTGTGGTTTAAAAAAACAACATCAAATGCAAGGTAAAATATTTGTTTTTATACAGTATGTTTAACTGACATTGAAAACCATCTCTTTTGTAATGCAGCTATTTCACACTTATGAGTCACTTGACTTGCAATTCATTCAGTCTTCTCACCTCTGTGAAGGTTATCTGGGGTTGCATCCCTGTTTGCAATGGTACTCTGTAATCAGCTTTACAGCACTGTGGAATTCCACAAAGCACCCTGGGAAAATGCAGGCCAGATAGTTTAGCACAAGCACAAAGGCTTTTAAATTTACAGATGCTTTGTTTTGTGCAGTCATCAGTGATTTTGGGTGAAAACGTGTCAGTGGCGGGAATGATAAGGGTGTGTGGGGGGGGGTTTCAGGAAATGTCCCTGGAATAAAAGATACATTGTTGGATTGTCTGCTTTGGCCCTGTGTGGAAAATTAAATGTTCCTCCTGTCGTCCCGAGATAAATGGCTTTACCAACCTCTATATGTGTGTTTGTGTATGTGACTGTGCTGAAACCTGTGATCTGTTTGTTCAGGATCTACTGTACTAACTGAGACTGTTTCTCTTCAGATTACTGCTTTAATTGGGTGGCCATTGGGCAACGCTTCCAGATGCTTCCTCCTGGACTGTGACAGAGTTGACTAAGCTGAACACAGCTACAGAGACACAGAAGAGGACAGACACACGATAAAGACACATACCGATATGTCAGTGTGTTACCGTAACAGCCTCCAGTGAAGTCAAGCATTACGAGTGGTGGAAACTTCCTCTTTTGGCCAGCCACCCCCAGTGACATAAACTATTACCACACACTCTTCCGTTCAGCAGTGAGGCACACAGGTTTTTGTTTTAATCTAAAAACACATCAGTACGCCGAGGGAGTGGGATGAAAACACAACGAGAGCACAGAAGAGGAAACACTAACCATGCTGAAGAATGACCAGGTGGTCTACATCTGCCTGGAGTTGGTCATCGCCTGCCTGGCTGTGGCGGGGAACATCCTGGTCTGCTGGGCCGTCTGCCTCAACTCCAACCTGCAGAGTATCACCAACTTCTTTGTGGTGTCCTTGGCGTTGGCTGATATCGCTGTGGGGCTGTTGGCAATTCCCTTCGCCATCACAGTCAGGTATCATCACATCAAATCGCTGTTATAACACCTCATAATCACTGTTTTTTCAGGAATTAATGTAATCCAAGAAGGAACAACTCTGGGACAGATGAATCTGGTTGATGTGCCTTAATTAGACTTGTCTGACTTAAAGGCCTTGGGTTGAGCTATTTAACCCCAAGTTACCCATCATACCTCAGCCTTGTGCCATTTCAAGTCCATCATATGTAAAATATTGTCATTTTTCACTAGCTGTAGTGGTTTTTTAGATGAAAAAAAGTTTTCCTGAAATGTGCTTTTTTTTGTATCAGCACCGGCTTCTGTGCTGACTTCTATGGATGCCTCTTTATTGCCTGCTTCGTCCTCGTGCTCACCCAGAGCTCCATCTTTAGCCTGCTGGCCATCGCTGTGGACCGATACATTGCTATCAAGAACCCGCTCAGGTGAGCATGGTAACACCTTCACACTTAAGAGGAGAAGTATCATACATGACAGACATTAAAAAAACAGACAGAAAATACAAATTGTATTTAATTCAATAGCCTGTGGACCTTAGTGCAAAGTTTTATCATCATCCTGTGTTCAAATACATTTTTCTATTATCCTGCTGCTTAAATCTGGAGTCTAGGTCTAGAAATAACAAGATAACAGTGTAATATTAGTGTGTTAAAAGTTGGCCAAAATATGGCAAAAAGTTGATATTTAAACCAAATGAGGAACCATTTATAATAAAATATAAATAGATAACATCTAAAAAACAGTATAAAGTTAGTAAAAAAAATGTTAAAAGACAATAAAAGTCAATGCAGCTAAACATTTAGATAAATAGTTACCTTTGAAATAAATACATGTATCAGTAAATACTTTAAAAAGAAGACGTAACAATAAATGTTAGGCCCTCCGAAAACTCAAATTGTCCAGAAAGTTAGCTAGCTAACAAGAAATAACAACACTTCCGCTAGCTGGTGGTAGGCTAAAAGATAAAATAGCCCATAAAAAGTTAAAGGTTTGACTAAAATATGATCTCTAAAAGTTAATCTTAGTCAAAACAAAAATCTAATAGTCGAATTATATGTGTAATGATTCACAGCCCCTTATACTTTGTTTCCCAGCAGCAAGAATAGGCCAATTATTTTTATGATTCAATCTAGCGCCTCATAAAAAAGTTTCTTGTTCATTCTCTGTGTAGCAGATGTTTCTTTCACACAGATATTATTCAATATATCACTAAAGGCATAATAAACCTAATATAAACCTACTGTAATGGCCACCACCCTGTCCATTTTGTGCTAAGACAATAACAAACACACAATAACCATTGTGTTCATTCACGTCTTCTTCCACATTAAATTTATATCCATTATAAATCAGCTCCTGCTGACCTTTTATACTCTATTTTTATGTCTTGGTCTCTCTGTCCTTCATTAAATAAACAATGCAGTCACATTTGAATGTGTCACCATTTTCTCCTCATTCAAATCCACAAATATTTGTCTTTCCTGCCGACCCAACCCCAGATAAAGAAGCTAACCCTGTGTGTGTGTTTCGTTGACATGTTCAACCCCTCAACCTTTTCAGGTACACCAGCCTGGTGACGGGGCAGAGGGCAAAGGCCATCATCACTTTGTGCTGGGTTCTCTCTGTGGGCATTGGCCTCACTCCAATGCTGGGCTGGAATACAGGTGAGAGACACATCTTAGCCAATGTAAATGTTTGCTCTCACTGCCTCCTAAGTGCTTTCAGCCTTGAGTGAAGGGTATAAAAGGTGACCTCCGGTAAACTGTCTACGCCTTCCTGAGAAGACTGTCAGATGTCCGTGTTAGAGTTTCTATTTTTCTGTGATGTGTAGGCAAAGGTCAAGGAAAAGTAGGTTAGGTTGATTTCATTACATTAACCGACCAGAGAGAATGTAGGGCAGGTCACCAGCTGCTGGTTTGTGGATGAGTTGTGAGGTTCATTGATTCTTTAATAAAACTTGGTGACATTTGTAAATCTTATTTAGAGGTAAATCAACCAATCAATCATCAACAAGTCATACGTTGTATAAACAGGATGGAGTAGAGTTGGAATGACTGCCCTCCATCTCTATTGAATTTTCTTACCCAGCTTCCCTGTGACTGCCCAGCCGTTCCATCCGGCTTTTTATAGATTGATGGTCGGTTTCCACTAGAGTAGACGCCTATGTATTGCCTTTTTATATTTGTAGGGGGCGCAACCAAGGAGCGGGACACTATGATCACCATTGGGATGATGTAGGGTTTAATAAAAGCCTGCTAAGTGACTTATATAGCTCATATGAGTCAAATCATGTGAGAGCTTGGTTGTAGTTAAGGTGTGATATTGTTGTCACCTCATGTTGTGTCTCTATGGGCTTAGCCTTACTTTAAACAGTGTATTTTAATCTAAATATTTTGATTGTAAATGCTGGTCTGTCTCAGCTCTGCGTCTGCACTGACGTTGAAGACTCCACAAACAAATTCTGAGCAAAGCAATGGTACATCTTTGTCAACGATGTGGACGGATGTTGGAATTATTGGTTATGCATATGAAATTAACACAAATAACATTTTAATTTTGACAGCAATTGTTATTTTTGTGTTCTAAAAACATAAATAATAAACGTTCTTCTCAGCAGGTGGAAACAGCACAACCTCCCCCAGCGGGACCTGTCCTGAAGGCATGACCGAGTGTCTGTTTGAGGGAGTGGTCACCTTGGACTACATGGTCTACTTCAATTTCTTCGGCTGCGTCCTTGTACCTCTGTTGGTCATGCTGGTCCTGTATGCCAACATCTTCATGGCCGCTCGACGCCAGCTCCGATTAATTTGCCTCAAAATTTCCCAAGCCCCCTCTGCTACAGAAACCGCCTCGTCTCCCAGTTCATCTTCATCCACCCTGCAGAAGGAAGTGCACGCCGCCAAGTCACTGGCCATCATCGTAGGTTTGTTTGCCTTCTGTTGGTTGCCACTGCACATCATCAACTGCTTTAACCACCTGTGTCAGGACTGTAACCGGCCACACATTTGGTTGATGAACATTGCCATTATCCTCTCCCATGCTAACTCCGTCGTAAATCCCTTCATCTACGCCTATCGCATTCGGGAGTTCCGACAGACGTTCCGCAGGATCCTGTACCAGAACATCCTGGGCCGCAGGGATATGCCCAGGATTGGAGTTTCTCGTAATAGTGTCACAGGTGTGGGAAGCAGCCACAGCAGCATCATGGGAACTTCCTCTTCACGTAACAGTAAAGAGGCCGTGTCATGTGGTACAATAGTAAATAGTTTCATCCTGGACTCAGATCCAAGTCATACTCCACCAAAAAACACCCCGGAAGCCTCACGCCTGTGGACAATAGAGTTGGACCCCGATATAAGTAGCGGTGTACCCAATGGTCACAAACCAAAGGAACACGTGCCTGCAGGAACGTCAGAGCTGCTGTGTATCCCAGGATATTCTGTGCAGGAGAGAACAGAGTCAGTCACAAACATCGACCAGCAGTTTGAGTTAAAAGACAGTCAGAGCTCCATCACTTTCGTAAACGTCCACGCACTCTCCCCTAACCAGACTGAGTGCTCTGCAGAGCTTCCAGAAGTCTCGTGACAAAGACATTTTAAATAACACACATTTACAGAATATTACAGTAAAGCATGTAACATTCACACATCAAACAAAATCACATCAACGACAAATGAAAAAAACAAGAGCAGCTGCAAATTCCATTTTCTGTGAGGGCTTCCGGGCTTCCAACCCCTCACATTTTACAAAGGTATTAAAAAGTATTTTCAGTTTTATTTTCAATTACTGTAATTTCTGGACTATAAGCTTAAACAATGATGCGGCTAATTTCTGGATTTTTACGGGCTAACAAAGTTCATACCGCTAGCGATCAATGCCTTATCTGGTAGGCTACTGTGTGTTATACTAGTAGCGTACGTCTGTCTGTGAATGGCTGTGTGCGTATATGTGCGTGGGAAGAAAATGTGAGTTGGTTATACAGGAGCTGTTAAAACTCTGTTTCTGTTCTGTTGTGGTCGGAGTGGCTGATAATAAAGACCCCAACTTCACTGTTTCTGTTTACCTCTGCTGCGGACAAGACCAAAGTAAAGGAGTTAGCCCTGGAGCTAATGTTAGCTTCAGCCCTGTTCATTCCAACTACGGTCGGGGCGCTGAAGCAGGAAAGAGCTAACGCGTAACCAGCCGTGTTACAGGCACTGTTTGGAAAAAGCAGTTATTTAATTCAAAGTGAAAAAAATATTTTTGTGTAAATATCGCATGTCACAATGTGTATAGAGAAGTACAGCCTATATATGTATTTTTTATTCTTTTTTAATTGAGTGGGTGATTTAGGTGCACTCAATAGTCTGGAATTACGGTGTGAAAATATAATATAACGGATAAAAAAGTACAGGCGGTTTGAATGATAATATTTCATAGTATGACAAAACCATTTTCTTTTTATGGTAATCACTAATGTAGCCCTTCAATGTACTGACAGGTGCAGCAGTGTCCCTCAGCTCATTTAAGTTCAAGACTCCAGTATTATTGTATGTTTATTCATTTAAAAACATTGGAATACACCTGAACTTCACTTGAATACACTTGAACTCTCCGTTTTTCTCCATTTTACCTGACAAGCTGACCACTGCATATGAATATTTTTTATTAAAAGTAGATGCCCACTGTTCATTTTGGTGATGGGTTAAAAGCAGAGGTCACATTTTTGAGGTTTCACTAGATTCACTGAAGCTGACCGACCAACAGCTCCACACCTCCAGAACCTTCTGTCCCTGCACGTGTCTCCACCAATCTTCCAGTAAAGCTGTTTATCCCTAACAAGTGGATAGTTCAGAATAACAATCTTAGGAAGAACTGGGGGGCAATTAAAAGGCAGAATAGTAATAAATCATGATTTGTCATCATTTCATTTGAACACAAAGAAAATAATATCAACAATGGTCCTAAGCATTTTGTTAGAGTTATTACAAGCTTTGACAATATTTAACAAAATGTGATGATATGATGATTAAGAAAATCATGATTTAAATTTGAATATGGCTGTTCCCCTGTATTTTGCAACAACGTCAGTCTACTGTGACTAATGCAGCTTATGGCTAGTGGACAATAAAACATTTCTCCTAACAGCATTAGTGCGAACACATTAAATATGAGACATGTAAGTGGAAAAGTGGAAAAGTATTTGGGAGACAATAATTTGTAAGAATGTTAAGGATGAATGAAATTTCCTTTTCTATCTATAGCTTTATTCTTTATTCAGTTGTGTTTATCTATTTTTGTCAGATCTAATTATTTTCATTGGTTTCATTTATGAACATTTTCACAAAATCCTGTTGAAAAAGTTTGAAAAAGCAATCATCGGGGTTCCAGGAACGGAATAATCCATTTTACATTGATTCCTATGGGAAAATTGTTTCTGTTTTAAAACTTTCAGGTTCACAAACAGCCTTCCTGAACCAATTAAATTTGAATATGGCGGTTCCCCTGTATTTTGCAACAACGTCAGTCTACTGTGACTAATGCAGCTTATGGCTGCAGTGTGCTGTGAGTGGACAATAAAACATTTCTCCTAACAGCATTAGTGCGAACACATTAAATATGAGACATGCTGTATTCACTGCAGTGGGTTTAGATCTATTACAGAGTCATTTTTCAAACTGCGTCAGGACTGTTGATATTGTGGCTTTGATAACTGCCAAGCAACTCCTTAGTCACTGTTTCAACAACAAGACGCTGGTGTCCGTAGGCCCCTAACTGATCAAAACAAATCTTATCCAAATATCAGTCCGTGTTCATGTGATGTGACACACATACAAAACACACAGCCTGCAGACTAATGTGCAGGAGGTGTTTACAGAGCAGCCTACCTGCTGACGCCAGTCAATGGGCCTAATGCAATGGAAATCAAATGGAGGTTCATTTCATGATGTCTTTTATTATGCCATTATGCCTTCGCTCTCGTCATTTAAAAGCTCTTCCACCGTTGAGAACCCTGCATTAGGCAAAACCGGTGCACTTTCAAGCAATTGCAGGAAGTCCATACAATAATACCTGAGTATTTTTCAAGCTTATATACAGTTTTCATTTAAAAACAATGAATGTTGATTTATCACCTCTACCAGAGATGTTGTGTTTTTGACCATTTTCCTGTTCTGGAACTGTCTGACAAAAACAAAGGAGGGATACAGTCCACTTGGCCTGCCTGTAAGGTTCAAAGACTGGCAAAATGTTGGCAATGGGAGCAATGAAATGAACTTCAAATATGGTCAAAAACATTTAAGGTATCTTTTGAATGCCCTCCTTGGGGGGAGGGGAGGGGTGTCAAGTGAGGGAACATGGGGATGTATGCTCACTGAGGTGTTTTTAAGTCAGTGACCAGTCTTTGGAATTTTAGGGCCATATATTTTTTTAATGTGCTATGACATAGGCTGAGAGGACGTCCTTGAGAATACAGCACCAAATGAGGCTATAGTAAAATAAAAAACACATGCTTCCGGGTGAACAAGCCTAAAACATAAGTGTCAAACTTAAGGCCCGGGGCCAAATGCGGCACGCCAAGCCATTTTGTGTGGCCCGCGGGAGCTTAAAAAGCATTTCGTAAAGTCAATGCAGAGTTTCTTAACCTAAGTAATAAAAAGTTTATAATCAATCAAATATTAATCAATTGCAGAAACATGTATTAGTCTGTTATGGAGTAGTTACATCTATACCAGTGGTCCCTAACCTTTTTTTGTTCAGGGACTGGTCCGCCAGTACCACCTGTTACTACAGACCAGTAGCAAGGTGCTGAGCATCGAAGGATCATTAAGTTTTCAAAATAAAATTTTTTTAGATTCTATTCTGTTAGTATTGGAATCTGAATGACCTATTTTTTTTTAAATTAGATTATCTTTTGCCAGATTATCTTTAAATAAAGAAGAATGAAGTAAAAAATAAATAATAGTAAAAGTACATTCATTCTTCCAGTTACTTGCCCTTCAAGGGGAACTGTATTGCTGATGTGGCCCCCGGTGAAAATGAGTTTGACACCCCTGGCCTAAAACATCAACGATTCTATTTCGAACACTTCAAACTTCAAGACCCACAATTCAGTTCGTGTACCGGAAACACTTGCTTTATCGTCGCGGCATTGTGGGAAGGCGGAAAAGGCTCGAAAAAAGGACGCTGAAGCGACGTGCGCACGTTGCAGAGTAAAGAATAAAGCGGCTCAGAACACAGTCTTCTGCACAAGTTCCAGGTAAATAATTTTGAGGTTCACTAATACCATATACCTTTATTCATTACTTTATTGAACGGAAATGTTTATCTTTGCTATACGCTGCACTTCATTCATCCAACTAGCCAACATGGCTCCGTCTATGTCCTGAACCCGGCGTTCATACCTCAGTGAAGTAAAACATAATGGGAATCGAAATAATAAAGTTGGATTTTTAAACTATTTATTTATGTTTTAGCTAAATCAAACATTTTGAATTCATCATTTTCTTTAAGTAACCGCCTTTCCGTAAATTATCGAACCAAGCTAGCATGGCTAATATAGCTAGCCAATGGCTTAGTTTTGTACTTTGGTTTAATTCGTTTTAGTCCCATTAAATTTAAAATATACTATTATGCCAAGTATTACAAATGAATGAATTCATTTAATAATTTTCAGCAATCTCAATCTGCGATTATGCGATTCGACAACAACGTTTGAGTACAAAGGTTCCAAAAACGTCCCCCTCAATGTATATAATAAAGAGTAATGTTGATCAGTTCTAGGTTGTGGCTTTAAGTGTTAAAACAAAATTACTCACTGCGTGTCCGTTAGAGGTATACGTTTTTAACGATTCATCTTTTTTCGATGTGCAAATTTTCCTAACAAATGTTTTGCGAAGTCAAACTTTCAAGGTGCTGACGTGATATTGTCTGACTGTTTGTGTAGGAATTACAAAATCAGTGATTGTGTTTGGTTAATGTCAAAGACACTCCTATAAACTATGTATGTTACTGTTGACATTTGTTTTGTCACAGTGTGTCGGAATGAACACTTTCAATGATACAATTCCTCCTTTTAAAAATGTTCTTTAAATTTCAATTATGTATTCAGTCAACCGTTCTTTCATGCTTGTTTTTAGCAGCACACTGTAACACGTCATAACATGTTTCAGGAATACAAGTAAAAATGTCCATCGGTGTACCAATCAAAGTTCTGCATGAAGCAGAGGGTCATATCGTGACATGTGAAACCAACACTGGAGAGGTGTACAGGGGTAAGCTGATTGAAGCTGAGGACAACATGAACTGCCAGGTTAGTCTATCATTGAAAAACATTTCCAAAAATAAATATTCAGGTTTGAGACATGTTTGACTAATGAGCATTTCTTCCATCACCGCAGATGTCCAATATCACAGTCACATACCGTGATGGCCGGGTGGCACAACTGGAGCAAGTTTATATTCGTGGCAGCAAGATTCGCTTCCTCATCTTACCTGACATGTTAAAGAACGCCCCTATGTTAAAGAGTATGAAAAACAAGAACCAGGGATCTGGTGCAGGAAGGGGCAAAGCTGCCATTCTCAAGGCACAAGGTAAGTGGCAGGTTTTAACCTGTGTTTAGTTTTCTTTATTTCTGGAGAGTTTTGAAAGATGATTTATGAGAAGGAACACTCAGCAGTTACACAGCACATACCATAATGAAATAGTATGTATGAAATACTGACATTAAAACGAAGCAATTAGCTTGATTCAAATGCTGTGCCCATAAAAGTTTCCAATTTAATTGTTACCTTTTATTATTTCTAGACAGAAGTTTGTTTGAGGAAGTGTTTATTTTGTTGTTAACAAAAAGGCTACAAAGTCATCTCAAATATTTCTCCTACTAAATTTATATCACATTATGTTTGTAAGTAAACATTTTAATGAATATTTTGTCACTTCCACAGTGGCAGCCAGAGGCAGAGGCCGTGGTGGAATGGGAAGAGGAAACATCTTCCAGAAGAGGCGATAACTGCCACATCTGTGTTATAAGTGTTGCTTTGTATAGTCTTGACTTTTTATTTTTGACCTTTTGGATTCGATAACTGGGATGTCTTCAGTTTAGTGCTTTGCAATTTACTGCTTTGATTTCATTTTTTATGAAAATAAACATATTTCCATTCCATACAGTCTTCTGCTTCATTCTTTTCTTTGTAAATATCTGCTCTATTACACCACATTGGTGTTTACAAATATTTTGTGGTAATGTTTTGCACTAAATAGTTTTTTGCCAGTTTCAAAGTGTGCTTTAAGAAGGGAATTACGGGCCATTTTCCCCTGCAAATTCATTGTTGTTGTACAATGCTAAAATCATCTCTCTCTATCTTCTCACTCTCACTGTACTCCAGATACACAAAGGTAATTTCACTACAATCCCAACTCATCAGGTTTGTTCTTTGAAGAAGGTAAGGTTTTAATCTATTCAGTTCTATATTTTCACTGTGTGCCTCAGGTCTCCACGTTGTTCTTAGCACACGTTTTGCCTTGGTCTAAAATGTGTACTAAGGACAATGCTCTTGTGGGGCAGTGGTGGCTTAACGGTTAAGGAAGTGGACTTGGGTCAGGAAGGCCACTGAACTTGTGCAGAGTCCACCAGCTGCCAAGTTACCACTGAGGTGCTCTGATCATGGCACCGTCCCCACACACTGCTCCCCCTTAAAGCTGCCCACTGTTCACTTTGGTGATGGGTTAAAGCAGAGGTCACATTTGGTTGTTGCAGTGGTGTGCTGTGTCACAATGACAAGGAGTTCACTTCCCTTCCATGTTTCTTCAGTGTTGTTCTTTTTAACATTTAAAGTTTTAATATAAGATTAAAGATTGCCCATGTTTTAAAGTTTAATTGGGGAATTGACCGTTTAAGGTGAGCTGGTCAAATGGGTCATGTTTGATTGTTTCTGTATTAATCGTATTTAGTGTCAGTAATTTGTTTTGAGGAATAAAACACTTGCAACTCTTTAATGTTCCACAAGGGGGTGCCAGACAGCTTACAATGCCTGAGACAAAACGGGGGTTTTTGTTTGATTTTAAGGTCGTGAGATCTGAAAATAGAAGAAAAGCGGGCTTACACTTGAGTTGTGGGTGTTGTGCCTTTAATGTCCACACATGGTGTGTTTGGTCAACACTTCCTCCAGTGTAAGCCACGGGACCTGTGCTGCTGTTGGATTGTTCTGTCTCAGTCTCTAATCAGTCTGTTACTGTCTCCGCTCTTCACACTGTCTTTAGCCTTTAGCTGTAGCAACACGGACGCCTTCCATCCGCAGCCGAAAAAAGGGAAAGGACCTCATAACGGAAACCTGCTGGTCAAATAAACATACAGGTATGCTGTTTTATCTACTTGTGTTGTATGTAGAATGTGACCGAGGGTTGTTTTAGTTTTATCGGCTGTAGTGTGTCAGCCTCCACTAGCATCACTTGACAACATCTGTATGTTGATAGATGGAGCAGCTGCTAACGTTGTAGCTAAGCCTCTTGGCTTTAAGTTGACATGGGGGAAACCCTATAGAACTGTTGTTGGTGCATTTATTTATCTAGCAGAAATTTGGGAAATACTCGGTTGTAGGAATGTGCTGGTTTTATTGAATGTTGTTAAATATTTAGTCAACCATAAAAAGTAATGTTTAAGTAATGCGTAAAACGCCTTGTTTTAGTCAGTCATAAAGTGAAACGATGTTCAAATTCTTAATTGAAAACCATTATTTAATTTATTCATTATTTATTCAAATGTCAAATTCAATTTTCTTATTTTTTAAACTGGTTTCGTAGTTAAGAAATCCAGGAAAATTGGCACAGTTTCATCACTGATTTCATCAACAAAAAAGGGTCTTGTCACGTTTACCTCAAGGTCACATCCTCTTTTGTTTTCAACCACAGTTTTTATTGTCGGGGAAGTGAAGCAACCAATTGTTAAATTTTGGCATGTGGTGATTTTTAATTCCTTTATGTGATGGATAATCCTTAGTAAAGTATCTCGGTTGTTTAGAAATGTTAATGATTGATTATACATTAATGTTCTATATATATATCTATGGCAACCCCAGAAAAAAGGGACATAGCCGAAAGGAATAGAAGAAATTGTATATCTATATATACATACTATACATACAGGTGTTCCTATATATGTTTATATATATATATATAGATGTATATGTGTATATCTATATACACATATAGATGTATTTGTAAGTATGTATATAAATACATATCTTTATATGTAAATATGTACAGTATATATATTATAGCAGTGGTTCTCAAACTGTGGTATGCGTACCACCAGTGGTACTCAGGGAAAATATTGTCAACAATATCAATATATCATTTTCACGTTTGCATTTTCAATTAAATAAATCCGAAACATACAATGCACAATTAATACAACATTTAAACATAAACATCTTTATAAACATTTATAAACATCTCTCCTGTGTGGTGGAAGCTAACAGGGAAGGCCTATACTGCTATATTCTAATGTAAACATGTACATCATGTCTATACAGTATTTTTAAATATATATATGTGCATATACGTATATGTATATCTAATAGGTTTATATACATATATACAGTATATGTGTATAATATACAGTGTTTTGTCCATTTGTTTTCCTTCAGACAACTAATCAATCTAGATAAACTGATAGCCTGTAACCTGGCAGTTTACTTGTGTGAAGGACACTCATCCTTACTTTTCCAGCAGCTTATCTGCTGTCCAGCTCTGCAAATCACTGACAGAGTTACCCTGTTGATCTGTTAATGAAACTGGGGATCTTCCCCAGCTCCAGATGGCCATGTGTAGTACTTGCATGTCTGCAGGACGCTGCATGTGTCATTATTAATGTTCCTATATGGCTCGTACTGTGGCGAGCTCTGATAAGTCCTCCTGCCCTCCCTGCTGCCCTGGCATTGAAGATCAGGTCATTATCGTAAGAGGCGTGGTATGGCATCTGTTGTTTCAGCAGACACTGCCTGTTCTACGCAGAGCTAATGTGTTTACCAGGGGTCACGAAAACATTGACCGAAATCGTAGATTTTTTTCATTGCTAAGTTGTGATTATTCGTAGCAACGGTGTTTATCGTTATTGTGTTCAACTTGTGTATGTCATTCTGACTTGATAGATAGTTGACATAACTAACAGGTTTTTATATATCGTTAAAAATCAGAGTGTATAAGTATTTTGAAAGGGCAGAAGTGAACTGACAGAAAAATAGAATTACAAAGAAAAGCTGATCATCCCAAAATGCTGATTTTTTTTCTTTTATCGGTGTTTATTCTTCATTAACAAGATGGTCAGAAAGCTTAAAAGTAGGGATGTCTGATATTAACATTTTACCAATATCCGATATTGTCCAAACACACAAGGTTCAAATTCCGGTATCATCTGATACCGATGCAGGCCTGGTAATATGTATTTATTTATCTGTACAAACCACTGTATGAGTATGAGATTAATTAAATTAGCTGCAATGCTGCCATCTAGTTACTTTCACTTCAATATACAGCCCTATATATATATATATATATATATATATATCCCTAAAACTGTTTTTAGGGCACACATGATTAGGCGAAACCCAGGCATTGAGTTACTGGGTTTTCATTATTGGAGGAGAAACCGATAAGAATTCGTACAGATATTACATAATATGCTAATATTGGGCAGATAATAAGAGTCGGCTGATATTATTGGACATTCGTACTTAACAAAAAACCCCAAATAATCAGACTCAGCAGTTAATGATAACGGGGTGGACCCCTTTGTTATTCAAGGATTTTAAATGTACATTGTCCACAAAAGGAGCAGCAACTGAAAAGGCTCAGCCATCCCTTTGTTTTCCTAATAATATTCAGAGATAAGTTACTCTGTATTTTTACAGAGGAGGAGATTTTAACAGTCATAAAATATTAACAAAGTTAACCTATGTCAGTCCTTACCTTTAAAAGTTGGTACATTCATGTTCGACTGTCGTGACTGTGCCCCAACAGTCTTCGTTAAAGCTGGTGAGACCTCTGGAGAGGCAGGTTGTTTGTTCACGTCATTCCTTTTAATTAATGCACACAAGTGCAGTTAATAAGGAAAAGTTCAGCCTTGAGTGGACTGACTTAAGAGTCTGTGATTTCCTGTGCTTTTGATGTTAGTTATGCAACACGTTTAATTATTAAATGGAGTGACTCTTACGAAGCTGTTTTTGCATAATTTCAAGTGGACCACTTCCATCCTCATGATCACTCAGCTTATTATCTGCCTATTATCTGGAGGAGGAAGGATGGAGAGGAGGAGAGAAAGACGGACCCCTGGAGACATTTCCTTGATTTTCTTTTCATGCTTTTGACAGGATTGTGTTGGTGACAGTCTGTGGGAGCTGAGTAAATCTCACCGACGCAGGAATACAAAGGGAGGTGCTAATAAAAACACAAGACAGTAAGAGCTTAAACCAAGTTCAGAGTAAGGACCGTGTGTGGGAAGAGACACCTACTATGATATATATAGTGATGTACAATAGAACTGCAGTATGGAAGGAGCCTTGTGCTAAGGGTACCTGTCTTGTTCCACTTATACATCCCTGACACTTGACACTGACAGATTTCAGAGACCACCTTGTTCATTTTAATCCAGTTTTTATAGAGCTAAAAAAAGATTTCCTTGAAACAAAGAGTCGTCTTGTATTCCAGTTTTAGAAACCATGACCATGAGATACCATACTGAATACGTTTTGGCATTTTTTTCAATACATTGATATTGTCCTCATCAGTCTACAGTCCTGAACGTGCATCTAGTCTCAACAATGGGCTCTGTCAGTTGGTCATTGCAGTCTAACTTAACGCATGTCGGGCGTTAAGATGTTATTTTATGCACCAGGTGCTGGAGTGGAAAAAAACGTTTGACTATTTTGACTGTGAATTAGAGCAACAATAAGTGGATGGAGAACATGATAATAACATTCAGTCTATATGTGTTTTACCCTGTTCAGTGTCCCTTATATTTAAATTTGTACAACAATCAATACTGTTTATCCATACATTTTTTTAATCAGTTTAATATGTATCTCTCTTCTTTTTACCTTCCATCCATCTGTTGAATAGACATTGTGTGTTATGCTGCCCATGCAGTTAATAACTTTAATTTAAAAAAAGTCTGATTCCATGTCCTAGGAACCCTTCTCCTCCTGAGTTCCTTTTCTAATGGAGCATCGGTCATCGATCTTCCTGAGAAAGCACCATGTTCCCGTGCCACGCAGCTCCCTGGCCTTCTGCTGAGCCCGCGGCCTCTTGTGGCAGTCATGCTCCATCAGCACAGTCCTCACAGCCCCTACCTGACCTGCTGTGCAGCTGCCCTGCTCCACCTTTAACCACCCACGCCCAAACCCCTTCTCCAGACCCGATGGAGTCCCTCATTGTGATTACTGACTATGAATCCAGCAGAGCACCTGGGGAGGCTGGAGAAGAAGAGGTAAGTAGGAATGTCGATTGTCTTCAGTAATGTTACAATGTTGTTATTGTGGTTCCATGGTGTGGCGGTTAGCACACCTGCCTTGCTAGCAGAGAGTCCTGAGTTTAATTCCCAGGAACCGTATATCCAAATGGCAGCCTATGACTTCACGACAACCATGTACTTCACGGTGCCTCCCCTGGCAGCCTGTGTCGGTTGTAAAGACTCACACTGTAAATTCCCCCCATTGTGGGATAAATAAGGGATGTTTGAAATGTGCAGATTCTTTTTGTTTTTCTGAAGCAGTTCTCTAAATTAAAAATATTCAAGATAAAAACAGACAATGTTTGTGCTGTCACATTAAGGCCTACTTTGTCGGGTAATTTGCAATTTGAATTCTGTGATTATAATTCTAATCAGAACATGATGAATGGTTGAGAAGTTGTGACCTTTTGACCTCAGAGTTAAGGACAAGCTGGAAACGGGACAAGCAGCGCCCCAAAATTTGACTAATATAGTTTTGAAATTAATTATTTATTATGAGTTTCTGACCTGTCATATGAGCTACAATGTTATTGCACTGCACTGTTGCAATAAAACATGCACATTTTAGGGCTGTGACTTTTTCTTCTTCTCAGTGCATTTGGTTTGGTATCTGCAGAAGCAGTGTGAGCTGATGGGAGGTTTGCACAATTACAACAACACTGTCTGTACTCCTCAGGTAGAAGAAATGGACAGCTCTGAGATTCCAGATCCAGCGTCTGCTGCGGTAGGATCCTTCTCAACTCCATCCTGTGACCTGCTGTCCCACACGGTGGGCCGGCCCGAAGCTCTGCAGCCCGAGAGCCAGGAACAGAGGGGAAGATTGAATCTGTCAGACAGGAAGCTGTCTCTGCAGGAACGCTCACCAAGTGCGACGTCTCCCTGGAACTCTCCAGGACTTAATGGCCGCTATATTTACCCATCGTTACCGTACTCACCCATTACCTCGCCTCACTCCTCTCCTCGTCTGCCCCGACGCCCCACTGTGGAGTCTCACAGAGTTTCAATCACAGACCTCCAGGTATCAATAAGAATTACAAACTACTACATTACATTATGTCATTTCTTATGTCTTATTATGATCCCATGCACATTATTTATGACAGAGTATTTGGGCCACATTTACAATAAAGGGTAAATAAAATTACGACTTGTATATTTATGAGAATAAAGTCAAAACATAACGAGAATAAAGTGGAAATGCTATGGGGGGAAAAAAGGTGTAAAAATTTATGAGAAAAAAAACGTTAATTTATGTTAATGATTTCATAATTTTACAAACTGTTATTTGCCAAGGTAAACAGCATTTCTTAGACATTTGATTATAAATAGTTTCCCTCAGCCACAGAAGAATGTGTGGGATGGCGAATTTGGACTGATATTACGACTATTCTCATAAATATACGACTTCTTACTCACAAAATCACAAAATTCAGTCTTGTAAAAGTTTGAATTTTTTGAATTATTTTCTCTAAAGGTTTTGTATTCTTCAGTCTTGTAAAAGTTTTTGAATTATTTTCTCTAAAGGTTTTGACTTTATTCTTATAAATTGAGGCCATTAATCTTGTGATATTATTTTTTAAAATTCTCCTTGTGCATATTAGCAATTACTAATATTTACTCTCTTAAAGTGATTAAAGTTCTTTAATAGGTTCTAATATGAGGTTTAATCCAGTGTAATGATCAAAGTAATTGTGTAATTATTGGCTGCACCTGAATTATTTCAGGTGACTCACACACTTGCACACATTCTCTTGGGATTTACCTGAAACATTACACATGAGCACACAGACTAACTAGTGCCAGGAGCAGCCTGTGGTAGATTCACTCCTAAATATTTATCATCCTAATGACTGCATTAAACTTTTTGCCTGAAGTTCTGCAGCACGCTGGTAAAAACTCAGGATTGTGGATGTGAAGGTAAGATTCCAGAGTTCAACTGTAGGTTAGATCTCAAATATCCACCGACCCGTAGACCTGCACTGTAGATCCTGTAGATACTGGTGATGAGAAATCTCTGTTGCACAATTTGAACAGAACCATGTTCTTATCCAGGCTCCTCCGCCTACTGTGTTGGAGTGTGGACAGTACATCAGTGTTACTGCCAGAAATTAGGTAACTGAGAAAAGTGGAATAGATGTTTTATTTTTAGTGCATTATGTCACCTGAAATTAATTATTTGAAGTGACATATTAAAATCCCAGTCTTAACATATGGCATAATCTAGCATTTTAGTGTCATTTTTCATTCTACTCATAAGACGTTGCATGTTCACTAACATAGAGAAGCAAGCAGAAAAGTTCAGACTTGGGCTGATGCTCTAATGTAGTAGTTGCAAGAATTACATTTCTTTCTGTCGTCTGAAGCTCTACATTTTGATCCACTGGAATTCACTAGGCATCAAAAGAAGATCCAATCTATCCATTTTAAACACATCTAACGCTGTAGAATCGGCTCAGTTTGTTCCTAACACATTCAAGATAAACGTTTTCACTAAAATCGGCTCAGTTTGTTCCTAACACATTCAAGATAAACGTTTTCACCAGAGACAGGAGTTACGTTATTAACTGCCATCCTGAGCTTCCTGTCCAGATCAAGTACCTGACATGGTGGTGTTAGATTAAATGAGATTAGAGTTAGGGTTAAATCAGATAAGGTTAGATTTTTATTAGGTTTCATTAAATTAGGCAAGGTGAGATCAGGCTGTAAATGTAGATGGATGTGTCTGTCTTTGTCTGTAGCTCATCACCTGTGAAGAATTTCTTTGTGATCACCTCAGAACTGTGACTAAATGAAATTTGTCAAGGTTGAAAACTGCTCTGAATTGAATGGAACAAACATGTGACTGCAGAAGGATTTTATTAAGAACAGGAACAAGAACAGTGGCTGGATCTTTGTTGAACAACAAGAAACAAAAAAATCAGTACTCAATATTCTATCCAAAAATAACCAACAGGCTGAAGTAAGCCAGTGGTCTCTGTATAGGCAGGTTAGCTAGGATCACCAACGTTACCATATTGTATATTTAATTAAAGAGCAATATTGCCTCAGTCCAGTATAACAAAGAATATTCTTCCACGGTGACCTGAAAACCTGGAAGCTGGAGCAGCCTGGTGTGTGATCATTTAGTAAGGACTCTGTAAACTGGGAGAGACACTTATTCAGCTGCCGGGGCTGAAAATACTGAGGTGAAAATAGGAGGTTAGGAGCCAGACAGACAGGCAGATAGACAGACAAGCAGACAGACAGAAAGACAGGCAGATAGACAGGCAGGCAGACAAGCATTGTCTTCATCTGTGCTGACACTGTACATGAAGCAGTAGAGTCAACATCCAGAGTGACAGATGTCAACAGCTAATAATAATGTTGTATTAAAGTGCTGATCAATCAGGGATAAATGTCTTTGTGTAACCTTAAGTCGCACGTCCCTCCAAGTCATTTCATTTGGCCCGGTGGACTAATTGACTAATGATAACTATGTTGCTGGAGGGTGTATTTTAACCATGAACTACAACTACCACAGTGCATTTCAATTTGTGACCCGCAAAGTGTCGGCTTCCCACTGGACTAGACTGCAGCATTGACATATTTGACTTTAATAGAAGAGGGAGAGAAACGTCAAGATTTTATCCCAAAATACTTAAGATAAAATTGATTCTTAAGGAAGGAAACTTCACAAAAGACGGGAAAGTGAATCTAGGTGTGCTTCAAGGAGAAAAACCGCTATGTCTTTGTGTTACAAGACAGTCAGCGAAGAAAGAGTACAACAGTCGCCAGCATTTTGACATGAAAGTGTTCCAATTATTCTGAAAAAGGTCTCTCTCGCTCCCTTTCTCTCTCTGTCTCTCGCTCTCATTTTTCTTCAAGGACTGTGTGCAGCTCAACCAGTATAAGCTGAAAGACGAGATTGGAAAGGTACCATGAGAGATCAGTCACTGATTTCTCTTCTTTTTTTTTAATGACTCTTTCCGCCCACTGCATGTCTGTCAGGCAGTGCACATCACCAAGGCAGTAACAGCTTCTGATTTCCTCTCTCTCTCTCTCACCCTATCTTTCTCTTTCTCGGCTGTCCTCGTTTCCCAAACTCTGTGTAAACTAGCGTGGCCATGGGAGAGTTGGAAGATGGATGAGAGGTTGTTATAAATAGCACTCTCTGAGGGTTGTGCAAAGCTGAGTGGATACAAGTGTGTGTGTGTGAGAGAGTGAAAGCGAACAAGCTAGTAGGAGTGTGTGGTTGTAGGTTTAGATTGTGACATTAATAAGACAGATTCTTCACATCTTTTGTTTCTGCTAGTTTTCTCTGTAGCCTTAAATGAGGTTCCTGTTCTCACGTCATCCCCAGAACCAAACAAAAGTCCACTCTCCTGCTGGATGTGATTGCACTTTGTTGCTTTGCATGAATTTCTGCACACGGTTCGTGGACTGGGCCTGGTCATCTTCCTGAAATTTCCTTTGTCTGAAGGCACAGCAGCATGTTAAAACAAACCAGATTCCTTAATTAGGCAAAATCAAATATGGAAGAGGGAGAGAGGGGGGGGGGGGGAGTAATTTGAATTTCTCTGTTCTCTTTGAAACAGCTGCTACTCTTACAGCGTTCACTCTGAGCCCACGCATGTCCGTCAACTGTATGTTTGTGTGTTACTCACTCTCTGTGCATGTGTTTACATTTACCACACGCCTTAGCTTAGCACAAAGTGTTATATGCTATCATTTTATGTACAAAATCAAATGACAGGTGCTCAATTATCACCTTTTCCCCCCATTTCTCTTCTCCTCCTATACCAGGGCTCATACGGAGTTGTCAAGCTGGCTTACAATGAGGACGACAACACATACTATGTGAGTTCTGTTCACAAACACTAGTGCAGATGTGTAACACTTCACTGCAACTTCACACACACGGAGTGTGTTTTTATTGACAACTTTACATGGACATATCTCCCCAGCCCTTCAGCCTAACATTGACTATGGACAGATATATGACTAATCTTAATCCTTTCCCAAATCAAAAATACCCACAAACTCACTGTGGACCTGCAAGATATCAGCACAATGACCAGGTGTCCTGTAGCAAAAGTCTGTCCCCACAGATATATTTATACCAGTATTAAACACACTCACACTGGTTTTTATACATTTGGGCCACCCCACATAGATGTATCCCTATTCCTAGTCCATTTACGCTAACCTTGACTTAAGCAAATATATGACTAATTGTAATCTTTTCATAACTCAGCCTAAACATAATTCCAACTCAAAATACCCTTGGACTCAGTATGGACCTGCAAAATATCCCCGCAATGACCAAGTGTCCCCACAACAAAAGTATTGTCAAAACACTGTGCCCAGAAGTATAGGTATACCAACCTTGATCAGCCCACATGATCCCAAACTCTAATATCCTCCCACTCAGTGCAGAGCTGTAAAAATGTCCCCACAAGTCCAACAACAGCATTTCCAGAACACTGCCCCCCTAAGTACCTCTATACAAGAACAATACACACACAGACACAGACGGTGGGGGGAAATGTCTGTGTCCGTGTCCTCTCGTCACGTTGATTTCATGTGAGTGTGTTCCCAGAAAATGTCTCTGCTCTGCTGCAATGACTAGTGTTGCAGGCACTGTTTGCTGTTCCTGCAGTTCTTATTAAAATGTCTGACTCTGACAGAGCACGCAGAGAAGGTTATGTTAATATTCCTACCAAAGTGGGAAATGTCACTTTCAATGACTGTAATATTCCCATAATAACATAGTGTTCCCTGGCAGTGGTGAGGATCACATCCTGATCCTGCAGTTGGTGACACGATTACTAACTTTACTAATGTAGTTTAACTTAGTTAGTTAGTTTAACTATCTTAGTTTATTATTAATAAATAAGGTACTAGTACACTACAAAAATACTGTGCTAAGCATTTAGTAAAGGATGTTGGAAAAGATTATCATCGCCCTCATTATTTGATGATTATATTTTGCATTTATTCAAACTGCTCATGTAAAAATAATTAACAGCATCTTAATTTTCCAAAAGTAAAATGGAAATCAAATGACTGAAATGAACTGTATTAGTTTTTAGAGACACTAAACAGCGTGCCGTTAAACTCCTGCCTCGTCTTATTCAGGCTGATGCAGCCAGTGGAATCTCAGGTTTTTACAGTTCATTTCACTTCATTAAATGTGACACTAGTTCTTCTTCCAATTTGATAGATAGTTGTATTGATAACTTCACAGACCGCAGATGGAAGAGTGGGACGACCAATTGTATTTGTCATTAAAAGTTATTTGGCTCTTTATTATTACAGTATATATCGGCTAATATAATTTTATGTTTTTGACACTTTATTTGCTCTTTGTTTGGGATAAAACATAAACAAGCCCAACATACAAGAGTTATATGCATTTATTTCATTTCTTCTCACATGGGAAGTCTGGCTTCCACACCCACAGTCACAGATCCACGCCAATTCAACTTCCCCCGTCAACTTTCTTTCCGTTGCTCCATCTAAACCATCTCACCCTCTCTCCTGTAGGCGATGAAGGTTTTGTCCAAGAAGAGGCTGATGAGGCAGGCGGGATTTCCGCGTAAGTCTGCAGCCAGGACCAGATGGTCCACACAGCAGAGAGCACAGTGTTTGATATTTCCACAGTGGCACAGGAACAAATCTGAAATGGGCCAAAACACACACGGCCATTCCTTTTCTTTTTCTTCTCTGGCTGATCCTCCTCTCCTCCATCATCAGGGAGACCTCCACCACGAGGAGCCAAAGCTGCTCCTGAGGGTCCTGCTCCGCCTAAAGGACCCCTGGAGCGAGTGTATCAGGAGATTGCCATCCTGAAAAAGCTGGACCATCCTAATGTGGTGAAGTTGGTAGAAGTACGTACAGTCACAGTAAAGAGTTTGTGTAAAAAACAAGTAATACTCCTCAAGGATAATATTAGATAGTATATTTGTATTCTTTAAATGTGATCAACATGTGTGTATAATGTTCCCTTTGTTTTGTACAATAATAATTAAACATAAATAAAAGTATTTTTTATGTACATCTGTGACCATAGCAGTAATTTCCGTTCTCCTTGATTTGGTTCCAGGTTCTGGATGACCCCAGTGAAGACCATCTGTACATGGGTATGTGCTCATTTGTTAGCCAGGCTTGAAACTATGCACACACACACACACACACACACACACACACACACACACACACACACATAGACCTAATGCATTCTCTGGTGCCTTGTCAATCTTAATCCATACCATTAATCTGGGCTAATAATACTCTAATCTCTCAAATTCAAATCCTAATCCAAACTTAATCTTAACCCTTAAAATATCCTGTCTCTCAACTGGAAAATGCCCAGAACAGCAAAATGATTATCCTTAAAAATGTCCCCACAAGTATAATTAGACCAGAACACATCCATACACACGACATGATTACAGTGACATGTAAAATTAAGTAATTAAATTACATGTTGTGTTTACCGCTCATGTAGCGTTAATTAAAAAGCTTTCATCATTGACTTCTCGTGTTGTTTCTGTTGCAGTGTTTGAGCTGGTGAAACAAGGGTGAGCTAATCCTCCTGAATTACTGTTGATTGTGGAGCTGGATTGGACTAAATCCAGTCATTTATGATGGCTAATGGTGAACACTTCATTGTCTCTGTATTCATGGGTTCAGGGCTGTGATGGAGGTGCCAACTGACAAAGCTTTCAGTGAGGACCAGGCACGCTTTTACTTCCAGGACCTGCTCAGGGGAATTGAATACCGTGAGTCTAAGCCTACTTTCATTCTCTGGCCTCTCAGCCTCGTACTGCAGGGGAGTACAGTAGAAGTAAAGGCAGGATCTGTGCTGTTTATCTGAGGGGCGCAGGCTGTTGGTTGGTCACCTGGCTGTGTTGTTTAGCTGCAATCTGTCAATCACCCTCTCTCTCTTTCTCTGTCTCTCTCTTTGTCTCTCTTTCACCCTCTCTCCCTCTCTTTCACTGTCTCTCTCTCTCTCTTTGTCTCTCTTTCACCCTCTCTCTCTCTCTCTCTCACTCACTCACATGAAAGGCCCACCCTAACCTCTTCCTGCTTCAGAGTCAGTCTAATTATACATTTACTTTTGAAATGAAATTTGTTTTAATATTTGTATAATATTTTGCACCATATTTGTATGATTCCCTTCTTTAATGTTAGCCTATAGGAAGCTAAACGGCTGGCAGAAATAATAGAACATTTGGATTTAAAATCCAAAGTTTGTTAAAGCTGATGGATTAAGGCGTTGAGAAAGATTGAAACTGATTTTTGAAAGTACTTGGAATTTATTTGAGGATACTTCAGTGAAGAAGTATGATCCCAGTGTAATAGGGTGTTATTGTCTCATCTAAAACAATACAAAACGAATGCACCTATGAAGGCTCAAGGATCATCTCAGACTGAAGCCATCTCAACCAATCACTCCCACCGTCTGTTTTGCTGCTCTTTGCTCTCAAGCAAACCACAAGCCTTACTTTGCCCCACCTATGTGACCCTTAGTTAGTTTCAGAAGCACAGCAGAAGAGTTTTTCACGTCAAGTGTCGCTCACAAGATTAGAATTGAGGGAGGCGATGATCACACAAAGCTCTACAGACGACAGTTTGTTTTTTAATTTAGTTTTATTCACGGCTGAAGGAAGCTTTGCTGCTGGGAAGTCATGGCACATTCAGTTTGGATAAAAATACACTTCAAACCAATTCCTCTGACACTGAGGCAGTGACTAGGTGGGTGTAATCCTTGTTGTTTATATCCATAACTGCTGTAATGTTTATTCCCCCTCCTGTTTAATTGGGTCAACAACCTCCCATTTGTTCCCAATTAAATATTAAAATCCTCTGGAGGTGAACGCGTTATTTTAAGATCTTTCCTCTTAGATCAGACATGTTGTTCAGGAACAACTCGTCCTTTTTCCACAGGCAGATTTGTTTTAAATAATTGGAGTAATTTTGCTCTATGTTGTCCCTTTTGTCAGTGCATTACCAGAGGATCATCCACAGAGACGTCAAACCCTCCAACCTGTTGGTGGGTGAAGACGGACACATTAAAATAGCTGACTTTGGCGTGAGTAACCAGTTTGAAGGAACCGATGCTCTCCTGACCAGCACGGTGGGAACGCCTGCCTTCCTTGCACCTGAAGCTCTCTCTGAAACCAGGAAGAACTTCTCTGGAAAGGTACCGAGCTACACTGCTGCCCTCTGGGGGTTGTTTTGTGTCCAAATCCTGTATGTGACAGTGTTTGTTTTTTTTTTGTCCCCCAGGCGTTGGACATTTGGGCCATGGGAGTGACGCTGTACTGCTTTGTCTTTGGAGTGGTACGTCTCTTTATGTGTGAAGGGTATCTCCTCATTGGAAATGTTGTTGTGTGCTGAAGACACAAACACATGTCTTTTGTTCACAGTGTCCATTTATGGACGAGCGCATCCTCAATCTACACCAGAAAATTAAAACACAGCCTGTGGTTTTACCTGAACAGTCAGTTCTGCTCCGTCGCTCTTTCATTCTTTTAAAAAGGAAAACCAACATATTAAATCAGATGTAAATATATTCAGGTTCTCCTCTTCTGTTACAGTGCTGATATATCAGATGATCTCAAAGATCTGCTGCTTAAAATGTTGGACAAGAATCCAGAGACAAGGATATCTGTCACACAGATTAAGGTAAACATGGTTGTCTAAATATTCATCACCTTTTCATTACTTCCTCTGCTTTACCTTTGAGTGAGTCACATCAGATGTCTTTATGTTAAAATTAATTAAAAAGGTATTAAAACATTACAGGGTGAGGAAAAAGGATGCGTTAATGTACATTAGTGGTATGTTGAAATACTGGGATTTTGTTGTGACATTTTTTTGTAGTCATTTTAGTCATTATTTGTATATTCTGATTATAATCTGTGCTCTATATGAATGTATGTGTATGCATATAGAGGGGTTGGACAATGAAACTGAAACACTGGCCAATTTAGTGTTGGAGGTTTCATGGCTAAATTTGACCAGCCTGGTGGCCAAACTTCATTGATTGCACATTGCACCAGTAAGAGCGGAGTGTGAAGGTTCAGTTAGCAGAGTAATAGCAAAGTTTTGCTTAAAATATTGCAATGCACACAACATTATGGGTGACATATCAGAGTTTAAAAGTGGACAAATTGCTGCTGCATCTGTGACCATGACAGCAAGTCTTTGTGATGTATCAAAAGCCATGGTATCCAGGGTAATGTCAGCATACCACCAAGAAGGACGGAGCACATCCAACAGGAGTACCTGTGGACACAGGAGGAAGCTGTCTGAAAGGGATGTCCGAGTGCTAACCACAGCTGCCCAACTCACTGCAGCATTAAATGTGCACCTCAACTCTCCTGTTCCCACCAAAACTGTCCGTCGGGAGCTCCACAGGGTCAATACAGATGGCCAGGCTGATATAGCCCAACCTTTGGTCACCAGGCGTTTCAGTTTCATTGTCCGACCCCTGTATGTGTACATGTATGCATGTATTTATGTATGTATATGTATGGATCTGTGTGTTTGTATGTATGTATTGTAACTTAAAGTGACCAGAAATACCATTCAGCAAAATAGCTGAAAATATAGCCAAAGGCTAGCCCAGAAATAGCTTATATAAAAGTTGCTGTCCTATAGATAAACAGAAGTGAGCACAGAAACTGCCTTAAGTTAGGTGGGTGAGTCAGGATAAACAAACTAAACTAGCTAAAAGTCTGAAGGCTAACCCCGAGGTTAACTGTGCTTCTTTTAGATTGGTTTTGTAACAAAAGTCATACAAGAACGGCATGTTCCTGTTCCTGTTCTTGTTGTTCCTCTTCTTCATCTCCTGGCTTTGCCTGCTGTTGTTTCCAGGTTCACCCCTGGGTGACCAGGCACGGAGCAGAGCCTCTGCCCCTAGAGGACGACAACTGCTGCATGCTCATCGAGGTGACGGAGGAGGAGGTGGAGAACTCAGTCAAACACATCCCCAGTCTGGCAACAGTGGTGGGAACCTTGTTTTGTTCCACAAGTTAACGTTATTGATTAACACCTGCCCTGATATTCAAGAGCAACAAACACTTTACTCTTTAAATTTAAAACTATTAGGCTTATTAATTATTGATACAACTATTTTATTAGTTTTTTTACGTGTTATTGAAACTCAATATATCTTAGAGATATCTTAAGATTTGTATTTGTCAAAGCTAATGAAATGTCTGCTTTGTTGTGCTGTTATTTGTTATTTCAAAGTCCCATTAACATCGCCAAAGACAGAGTTTTTCTGTGAAGCTGCTCACAGCCTGTGTTCGCTGTGGAAATGTCAGCTCTGCTGTTCTGTTGCTATTTATTGCCTCAGTGCAGCTGTGAGTGAATGTAATAGACAGAGAAATGCTCTCATTCCCAGCCTGTACAAGCTTCATGTCTACGTTTTTAATAACAGTCATTATCGCTAACTTTCAGTCAAACGTGACTTGGAAAGTTGAAGTTCACATTTGGTTGTTGACCTTCTTTATTTTTTTCAGATCCTGGTGAGGACCATGCTGAGGAAGCGATCGTTCGGGAACCCCTTTGACTGGGGGCGTAAGGAGGACCGCAGCAGTGTGGGCTCCTCAGGGCCAACCCTTGTGTAAGGAAGGATTGTTTTAATTAAGCAATACTCTCTACTATAGTTGCAAGCTAAAATAACAGAAACAAGTCATTTTAGCATTGTGCTGTCGAAAAGAGCTGCAAATATTTGACAAGTAAAGAAGGATAATATTTTTCTCCTCCTTCTCCTGCCCTGCAGGAAAGGCAGAGCAGGCAGGGTGCGACACTGCTTCATACACTGTAACCAAAGAAGGTAAAATACTGGAATAAGTGTGCCTGCTGCAGTCGCCATGTACTCAGATGAACTCTGCATGATGGAGGCAGATGTGTTTTTCACTTGGGCTTCAATGGCCAAGTCCAAGGCTGCACAAAACTCCAAAAGAGACTCTGAAAACACACAAGAGTCTGCTTCAATTGTATATGGATGTGGTTAGTGAAGAGTTGAATGGATTAGATTAGATTAGATTAGATTGGATTGATCTTTATTGATCCCACTCAGAGGAATTTCAGAGGTAAAAACACTACAATAAAACAGGAGATTAACTGCAAAGAGTAATAATACAAATACAAAAAATGCAAAAACAATACTTGTGCATTAAAATAAAAGTAAAATATACCAAATTACAAAAGCTTTAGAGAATGGTTGCAGATAAATAACATTGTTTGCAGCAGCTGCAACAGGCGACCACTTGGGCGGCGCCATCTTGTGAAAAAAAGTACACCTTAGTTGAACACCTAACTGTACACATGTACTAAACAGGTAACTAGTTGCAGACACAGTGATTAATTTTGCACAGCAGTGGCCCCAAACAGAGGGCCACATATAGAGGCACTCATTCACACTCAGATTCACACCTATGGTCAATTTAAGGTGAACAATTATTCCAAGTAAACGCCAGTAAACCAAAAGAACAGGTAAACGGTTTGTTAAATTTGAAAATGTGAAGTTCTGACCTTGGGATCCTTTCAAACTTAAACTTGAAATTAATATCTATTTGCTTCTTCCTCCTTCTTTTTGTCTTTGCCCCCAGGGGGGAGCTACAGCAGATCATCTGCCTCCATCTCACCCTCTCCCTGGCCTCCTCTGCTTTTACTCCATGTTTCTCCATGTGATTTTTTACAACCTGCACAAAAATCTCCTCTGAGGTCTTCTTCTTCTCCTCTTTCCTGTCAACTCCATCTCCACTATCCTTTCATCTCCATCATCTCCACCATGTCTCCTCAGCTCATGTCCAAACCATCTCCACTTCTCCTCTCTAACTTCATCTCCAAACTGCTCCACCTTAACTGTCCCTCTGATCCTGTCCATCCTGGTCACTCCCAGTGAAGATCTCAGCATCTTCATTTCCTCCACCTCCAGCTCCAGTTTTGTCTATTGGACAGAGACCATACATTATAGCATGTCTCACTACTGTCTGTTGAAACCTTCCCTTTCAACAACCCTCTTCTGTTTCATGTCACTGACACTGGTCTCCATCTATTCCAACTTGACTCCATCCATTACTTCACCTCTTTTGACCACTGTCCATTTCCCTGGATGGTTGACCCTACGTGTTTAAATGCAGTCCTGCGGTCCACAAGTGCAAAACTGAAAGTTATTTGTGGTCCTCTTGGTGGCGCCGGCGGCCCAAGTTTGGTCTGCGTCCCTATGGTTAAGAATCACTGCATCAGATTATACTGTATCAGTTAGATTGCTAATATACTAGCCTAATTTTGCTGCTTGCATTGATTCCATGTACTGCCTATTATATTCAAATCATACTTTACTCCAGTCTAAAGGTAAAGTATTTTTATGTCAATAATTATTTTTCCCTCCTCTCCTTGTGTTTGTTATTCCCTTAAATAAGGTCTGACAAACAGCTTGCAAAGCACCCACAATGCCGTCTGCTCTGACTTTATGTAACACTGAAGTGCTTGGTTTCAGCCCCTATAGAAGTGACAGCAGTCCTCTCTGACTATCACCGCTGCTTCTTGTCGCTGTGTTACTTAGGAAACAGGAGAGTGGAGACGGCATGAGGAGCATGGAGCTGCCGTATGTGGGAGAGGACGAGGTTCTTTCCTGATGCTCGGCTGAGGATAAGTCAGAAAAAAAAAAAAAAAAAACACACCACAGCATGAAGCCCCTTTACTCACAGATTTCCACGGGTGGTTGGTCGCACCTCCTTTTCTCTCACTTTCACTCTTAGGAGATGAAGCAGATGCAGAGAAAACGTGAGAGTTTAGGATGGAATGCACTTTGGCAACAACTGTAAAGGTTTTTTCCCCCTTTCTTCTGTGTGTTGGACTTCCTCTGAAGACAGAACTGTCCACAGTAGGATTCTACTACACTTTAAAGTCTGTCTCCAGCGCCTACTCACCTTAACTTATCTCCTCTCCTCCTGCATGCGTGGATAGTCTTAGCATGCTTTGGTCTCAGGCTTCAACTGTACAGTTTTGTGTTTTAGTGTAGTTTAGTCTTTAACTGTACATTAACTTGATGATATTTCAGGGAAACGTCAGGTGGGAGGAAGGGTTTTTGCAGAGTGGTGGAGGTCTCCTAGTGGACAGGTGTACAGACACATTCGAAGTGAATCAACAGGAGGGTTTTTCCTGAATAAAAAAAAAAAAGGGCAGTGATAAAATGTTTACTTCAGTGAATGCATGTTTACTTTTACCAATGCAACTCTATATAAGCTATTTATAATAGATGGGCACAATTTTTAATGCAACCGTTTGACCAACGGTTCTTTTACATTGAGAAGCTTTACAAACAGGTGTTATGTGTGAACAATGAAATGACCTTGTAATAGATCAGTGCTTTTAAACCCTGGGGTGGCATGGAATTCAAGAGGGGTCAAATGAAATGTCTAGTAATTGGTTTAAAAAAAACTGAAAAAAATATTAAGTTAAAACGCCACACACAACTTACTATATTCTTTGACCATTGTGAATATAAATTGTGTATGAATTTGTGATGTCAAGATTGGGGTCATGGGCCACCGAGGGTCGAAAACCTCTGGCCTAGATGGTCACCTGTGGTCAAAGGTAGTAGTTAATGTATTTGATTTATGTTGTATATAAAGTGTGACGTAGTGCAGCAGCAACACTCTTGAGGACTGAATGTATTGCTCTGTAATACTGTAGGTGGAAAATGTCAGTAAGATGTATGTGTTTTGGTGAGGAGCAGACAGTTTTTTCTTTTGTTCAGGTGTCAGACTGGTCTAGACCAGTGGTTTTCAGAACTTTTTTTACACTGCGTACCATCTCAGATAATAAATGTCTCTCTCTGTGCCTCCAGAACGATCAGCATAAAATACAGCAGCACAGACCCCTGCTGTTCAAATCAGGAATTTATTACTTCAAAGAATAAAAGATGATAAGACAGTTTAATAGTCCAACTGTCCAGTGAAGTAGCACTGCAGCTGGAGTTATATCAACAAATATATACACACATATATATATAGTATCAACAAATATATACACATATATATATATATATATATAAATACTTTGTATATATGTGTATATATGTATAAATTATACAATTATATGTATGTATATATAAATATACGTACATATATAAATGATCTATTAATATATATAAAAATATATGTATGCACACCTATATTGGTGTGCTTATGTATGTATATGTTCATAAATTTGTAAAATCATTCTCAGACACACACTAGCACATATTTGTGTTTTAAATACATAGATATGTATGTATGTATATATATTTCCTATCTATATGGAATGCATTAAAGCAGCACCACTGAGAGTGTGCCGTAGTTTGAGAACCACTGGTCTAGACAATGTATAGGGACAACTGCAATGATAAAAAATCAGTGTCAGAGTGGTTTGAATTCTGACTGTTAAGATAGTGTATGTCTTCAGCTGTCAAATGATGTTAAACACTGCCCCATAGTGGCTGAAGGTGGGAAGTATCCCATCCGGAGCAGCACATACAAATACATTGAGAGTTTGTCCCTGTAGAAAGTATGGTCTATTCCACGTTTTAACTAGGACAGTGAAGGCGTCACTGTCTATATTAAAGTAAAGTAGAAGCTGGATGTTACCCTCTCGCCCCCCCCCACCCTTGCCCATGACAAGACATCCCTGCAGTGGATGTTTGTGTGTGGAATATAAGGGACGCAGAACCTCAAGTTAAACTTGTGAATGTTCTCACGTGGTCTGTTTTATGTTACTGTTATTTAACGCACATGTTCAGGAAAAAAAAAAAAAGCGTACAATTTTGTAAATACTAGTTAGAGAAACAACAAACCTTTAAAACTATTTGTTTTTTGTTTTTTTTAAAGGCTAGAGCTGAGTTTAGTGAAGGAAGCATAGTTCTGCTGCAGACTATCTATGCACAACTGAGGCGTTTGAACCTGAACTGTTGTCATCGTCGATCGAAGGACTTGGCCACAAATATTTCTATTGAACCCAAAAGTACTTTATATGTACTTCTATGTTTTGTCATTTCAGAATATGAAGCAGTAGAAATAATATATTTCCATGTTAGTTTTTTCCCTCTTTGATAAAATAATCTCTCCCATCTTAGTGTCTCTTCGTCACGTAGAACATTGAAACGAAAGAGTTGGTTCCATTTAATGCTTCCACTCATTAATACCATCAGCACTTAAGTTGAAAAAGGGTCAATAGATTTTTTTTAAAAGCATCTACTTGCATGTCATTGATCTGTGTGAACATTCCTTTTTTATGACTTTGCACATGATGTGTCTTTTGTAAGATTTTCACCAACTGTGTGGAAGTGAAGTGTCTGTTTGAGTTGACGGAGTTTTTCTAAGTCACTTCTCACATTGTCCAGGCTGGGGATCAACAGCTAATCCTTTAAGATAATTTTGGTATTAACAGTCGAACAGTCCAGTCGTGATCTTATCCTTGTTGTGGAACATTGACCAAAATGATAAAGATTAAATTCTGTGTTATTATGATTTAGCAGAGGGTACAATCCTGTTATACATTCTAAATCATTCAGTGCAAAATTTGACCAATTTTGCCACCCTGCTGCAACATCAGAGAATTGTGTATTAATCCAGGATTAGGCAAATCTCTAATCCCAGGTACTATCAGGTTTTTTACCTCACAATATAAATCCCCGTCTCACACTTTTGATCATGTGACCCCATTTTACAACTCTGACTACCTGAGTCAGCTCTAGCTTTTATTTCAATGCCCCAGGTGAGATTATGGTACGGTGCCCTGCAAACCCACTCCACACAAAGCATTCGTAGATAGCAGCTCTATGACGACCTTAAAGGTTCAGTTATTGATGATTGATTTAAAACAGGATTTCTTAAAAAAGTGAAATAACAAAGGATTTTTCAGGCCAGATCCTACTGTTTGACAAATAAAAACAATACATTGTTGTGCAATATGGTGTAAAAAGAATACAGAAGAAGAACAGTTGATAAAAAAAGTAATTCCCAGAGACTGAAAATATGTATTTATTTATTTTTAAAATATCTGGGTTTTTTTTTTTCAGAATACAGATGAAAGTCTACGGGTTGAGGATTTAAACAATTACTTTTTATTTCTACGTTCATGCAGCTGAGTTCCCCTCCAACAGGTGGCGCCCTTGACTTTGACATGACGCGGCTTTTCATTTGCCAAGCTCAGGCCTTGAAGGCATCATGGTATAAATAATCATAAATTCAAATGTATTCCTTATTGTGAAACATCACCTCATTTAACCTCCATAAAATCAAAATCCTACAAACCTCACTTAGATGACGCTCAAACGTAATGTAAACAAACAAAAAGAAAAAAGGGCTTTTTTGCCTTGTTAATATTTCTGTCTGAGTGATGAAGGTCAGAGTACAGGGTCATCACAGTGCACAACAAGCTGAATCTGTGATAAATATTTTATAAGTACAATAGTTGGACTTGTCCAGTGCAGTCTATGTCAGGGAGACAGGGCTACTAAGTCAGTGTCTGCTTTAATTCTAATTGTTTCTAAAGTGTAATTGATCGTTTAAAGATTTTTATTTTCTTCTTGGGGCCGTTGTTCCCCTAGATGCATGCTGACATATTAGCACACACCACTGTATTGGTGAAAGCATGAAAGGTGCCAGTCGACAACTTTAGGTCTTTAATCAACTCCTCTCTATTTACTGTACCTTGTTATTCACTTGAATAAAATATTATTGCCTTTTTAATGAGTTTTGTGCTTGCAGTTGCAGATACAAACCGCTAGAGCGTGCTGTCCACCGCTAAATGTTTAAAAAGGACGGGAAACGTCAGAAATCACAGTAACAATACGACTACTGTACTGTGACTCCAGCCAGGTGACTATAATAGATGTGTAGTAATATGTACTGCACAGAAACTATTTCTGGCCAGTTTTAAGACTGTGTTTAGGTCGTATTTTCTCGATAAAAAGTACTTCCTTTTCCTAGTATTTTTACTTTTCTGTAAAATAAAAAAATACATTTTATAACAAAAATAGTTACTAATTAGTATTACAAAACAAAATGTCTATGCACAGGTGTTCTGAAATTTCTTAATCAATAATTAAGTTAAAAAATTTAAAGCCCATTATTTGATATATTTAAAAACGGAGCTAAGGAATCCCTGTTATATTGTTGTTAATTGAGTCATTGTTCAGCTATAGTTTATGTAATTTCCTTTTGGAACAATGAAAATAAATCAGATTTCTCACATAACAAGACTTAATTCGAAGTAATTCCATCATTGAACGTAATGTTAATTATTTACCCGACACTACACGCACCTGTGTGCGCAACAGTGATAGAAGACGTCAACAAGCAAGAAATTAAGATTTAAGATGAAAACATCGGCAACTGTTGTCGGGAACTAGGATGAAGTACTGACCTCTTGTGTTCATATTATGTCAACTCATACAGGAGGAAAGACGATTTAGCTGCAAGCCAACACCGTGAGGAACTGAAGGTTGGATCGGTCAGCAATCGTTCACATACACACCTACAGTCAATACAGAGTGATCCATTAACCTGTTCATTCTTACAGTCTGTGGGAGCAAACCAGAGGAATCGAACTGCTGAACTCCTTGCTGTAAGGTTAGTGAACCAACCACCCACCAACTGTGTGCCCCATCATATATTGGATACAATATTCCTATGTAAATCAATATATCATAATATATATATATA